ATTGTGAGCACTAATAATGAGAATGCCTCATCGTCTATGAATGTAAGTAATAAGTGAAAGAGAATTCATGACGTATCATCGAAATTATGGCACTGTCGTTTAGGCCATATTTTGAGGGGGAGAATAGAACGGTTGATTAAGAAATCAATTCTTCCACCATTAGAATTTTCACATTTAGAACAATGTATTGATTGCATTAAAGGAAAGTATGTTAAGAAAATAAAGAAAGATGCCAAACAAAGCGCATGAATTTTGGAAATAATTCACACAGATATATGTGGTCCTTTTCTTGTGAAAAGTGTGGATGATTATGATTCATTTATAATATTCATGGATGATTATTCTCGTTATGGCTATATTTATTCAATTAAGAAAAGATTAGAAGCATTGAATAAATTTAGGATATTTAAGGCTGAAGTAGAAAATCAGCATAATTTAAAGATTAAGGTAGTAAGATCCGACCGTGGGGGGAGTACTACGGTCGACATATCCCATATGACCAAGTTCCTGGACTTTTTGCAAAGTTCTTACAAGAAAATGGCATAGTTGTCCAATACTCTACTCCGGGCAAGCCTCGGCATAATGGAGTCGTTGAAAGATGCAACCGTACATTAATGGATATGGTGAGAAGTATGATAAGTTACTCCACTTTACCGATAAGTTTGTGGATGGAAACATTAAAAACCGTCATTCATATTTTTAATCGAGTACCAAGCAAGTCGATGCCCAAAATACCATATGAGTAGTGGACAGGAAAGGAACCCTCACTTAACCATTTACGTGTGTGGGGTTGTCCAGCTGAGGCTAAAGTATTTAACCCAAACATTGAGAAGCTAGACTCCAAGACAGTCAGTTGCCGTCTAGATAAGTCAAAAGGTTATCATTTCTACTGTACTGACAGACATACGAAGTTTGTAGAAATAAGACACGTTGTGTTCTTAGAGGATGATATGGTCAGGGGGAGCATGGTAGCGCGAGAAATTAACTTTGAGGAGAAGTGGGTATACGTGCCCACTCCGATGGTTCAGGAGCCATTTTTCTCACTACCTGTTGCTACTGCACCAACAGTAAAGGACACTACAGTGACAACACCTGTTGTTAGTTCTCCCATAACAATAATAAATGAACATGAGGAACCTGTCCTTCAGGATCATATAGAACCCGTTGTCGCACATGAGGAAGAGCAACAACAGCCCCATATGGAACAAGTGCCAACTAATGAGGCCCCTAGAAGGTCCCAAAGAACCAAAAAACCAGCCATTCCTGATGACTACGAAATCTATGAATGTGAATAATTTTAAATAGAGGGTGATCCCACCTCATTTGAAGAAGCCATGAGAAACGCTCACTCATCGAAGTGGCTTGAAGCCATGCAAGATAAAATGAGATCAATGACTACCAACGATATTTGGGACATAGAAAAAATTCCTAAAGGAGCCAAGACAGTAGGCTGTAAATGGGTCTACAAACTAAATATGACTCCAAAGGGAATATGGAAAGATTTAAACCGCGACTTGTGGCGAAAGGCTTTACACAAAGAGAAGGAATATATTACAATGAGACATTTTTTCCAGTCTCATGCAAGGATTTTTTTAAAATCATAATGGCGTTAGTGGTACACTACGATTTAGAATTACATCAGATGGATGTAAAGACAACATTTCTTAACAGGGATTTGGATGAAAATGTTTATATGGCACAACCAAAAGGTTTTGTCGTAAAAGGAAAAGAACGTATGGGATGCCGTCTGAAAAAATCTATTTACGGATTAAAACAAGCCTCTAGACAGTGGTATTTAAAGTTTGATGGAACGATAAGAAAGTTTGGGTTTAAAGAGAATGTAGAGGATAATTGCATTTATACAAAGTTCAAGAATGGAAAAATTATTTTCCTAATCTTGTATATGGATGACATCTTACTCGGTAGTATTGATGTTAATCTACTACTGGAGACGAAGTTCTTGTCCTCAAATTTTGACATGAAAGATCTCGGTGAAGCTTCGTTCGTTTTAGGGATAGAGATTCACAGAGATAGAAGAAAGGGGGTTTTAGGATTATCGCAAAAGGCATACTTAGAAAAGGTTCTAAAGAAATACAGTATGCATGCGTGTAAGCCTTCACCTGCTCCTATAGTCAAAGGCGATAGTTTTGGGAATTCCAATGTCCCAGGAACCAATATGAGATCAATCGAATGAAAGCGGTTCTATATGCTTCAACTGTAGGAAGCTTACAGTATGCTCAAGTATGTACACGCCCTGACTTAGCTTTTGTTACCAGGATACTTGGCAGATATCAGAGTAATCCAAGAATCGAACACTAGAGAATGGTAAAGAAAGTTTTGCGTTATTTGCAAGTCACAAAAAGTCTCATGCTAACGTACAGAAGATCTGATTCCCTATATATAGAGGGGTATTCAGATTCAGATTTTGTGGGAGATGTAGATGATAGAAAATCCACATCAGACTATGTATTCACTCTCATAGGGGGAGCTATATCGTGGAAAAGCTCCAAGCAAACCGTCAATGCATTATCCACGATGTATGTCGAGTTTGTAGTATGTTATGAGGCCACGGGGCAGGTGAACTGGCTAAAGAAATTTATGCCTGGGTTGAAAGTGATCGATGACATTCATAGGCCACTCAAGTTGTACTGCGATAATAAGCCTGCAGTATGTTATGCTCACAACAATAAGTCAAGTGATCGCTGCCAAACACATTGACATAAAGTTTTATGTTGTGAAAGACAAAGTCTGAGATCATTCTATTAGTCTCGAGTATATAAGTACAAAGAAAATGCTTGCGGATCTGCTTACAAAAGGCTTACCGTCCAATGTGTTCAGAGAACACTTAGCCGGCATGGGTTTACGGGAAAGCCTATGGTTCCTGGACAATAAGGGCCTAGTTGAGAATCTGTTTGAAAACAGAGAGGTGTATTGTAGCTGTTAATCTAATGGTACTAATCGTTGTGATGAGGCATGCTCTATGCGCTAATCTGTGATAGAATGAAAAAAGAGATAAGTGTTTTAAGTTTAAGTTATAAGTTGAGATCAAGGGGGAGAATGTTAGGTTGATCTCCACCAAGTCGGCCCAACATCCAACTTGGGCCCTGGTCCGCGTCCTGATCGGGGGCGTCCAACCAAATCATGGTTGGTGGGCCCCCATCGCACTGCGTTATATAAAGAGGTGAGGGCCAGCGGTTCATGGTACGAGGTTCACCGGTTTTGCCAAAGCACCCCATCGACAAACCCTAATCGATCTAAGGGAGCACAGCAGCGGCGGGAAGCGCCGCCACTGTCCTCCTTGACTCGCTGTCGCCCTTGCCGCCACTCTCCGGAGCTCACCGCGCCGCCATCGACCCGGGTTGCACCGACACCATCGTCATGGCGAGCTCCTCCGCCAAGCCCACCGTTGGTCAACTACCTCTGCACCCCTCTCTCTCTCTCTCTCTAATTCCTCTCTCTATTTCATGTTCTAGGTTGGATCTAGGCTTGTTTATCCCGAATTGAAAAAAAGGAATCACTCGCTAGATGATCCTAAGAACAAACATCTAACTCTAAGGACTCGATCTACTGGAAAAACTTATTAAAAACGATGGATTCCCACTCCCTCTGGCCTCCGGCGATATACCAGAGGAGAGAGGGAGGGGGATCAGCGGTGGTGGCGGCGTTGGGCGGCAGCGGAGGCGCTCAGTGGCGAGACACGAGGGGGCCTGTGGCGGCTACTCAATCCTTGATGTCTGATGAGACTTGTGCGTTGGGCAAGATTAACTTAGTTTTGTGACATTTGTACTTCCACAGGGAAAGTAACTTCTGTGAAGTTCTGAGCCGACGCTAAGTACATCGCTGTAGGTTCGATGGACAGGAACCTACGGATACTTGGGCTCCAAAGCTGCCTGCCGGCCAGCCGCAACGAAACTTTATTCTGTTAGTAATGGCAATTCAGTGCTTCAGTCTGTATTATGTGACAGCGTTTTGAGAGAGATGGACTGCTCTGTGCATGTGGGGTACTTTGTTTTTTTTTCCATTGGCGAGTGTTGATGAGTGATGAGTAATTGTCAACAGATGATCAAGCTTTGGTTTAGTATTTGAGACTAACCATAGCGTGAGTGGAGTGTTGTGTAACATGTCTCATGTCTTGTAATGTGCAGGTGTGGAGCACTGAGACGGTCGACGGCAATGAAGAATATCAAGTGAGTTTGTGTCGGACGATGGTCTAGGAGTGGTGAAGGAGGAACTTGGAGGTTTGGAGCGAGGGACTAAATTTGGCTTCCGGGGAAAATTCACAGGCTGTCCTACAAAACTGGCCAGTACGGTTTGGCCAGCTTCCAGCCGGTTTTGCCGGGTTGTTTTCGTTCTGTTGCTACAATTTCAACCTCCGTGCTATGTTTTCAATCGTTTCTGCTGCGAGTCTTTTCCGTTGTGTTCTCTTGAGTGTATTTGGTCATCAGTGTTGGCCTATGTATACTCGCTGCAGAGTTTTTGGTGTTTGCGAGTGCTTATAAGATTGAGTTGAGAAGAAAGCCGAGATCTCTCTGAGAAAAATTTATTGGCTCCCATTTACCTCCCTCTTCCTTCACGTTGTAATTTAATTAGGCGTTAAGAATTTGTGCAGATGCTTCTTTTGTCAGTCGAGAACCGGAGCAGTTCCCAATACTAAGATAATAGATTGCATGCATGTCTCAATCTTCTTACAGAAAACTGAAGAAGAATGAATATGCACCCAGACTGAACACAATGAATCAATCCAAACCAAATGAAACACGACCCAAAGTGAAGCAAAAAAGAACACGCTATAATAAATTAATTAATAAAAAACATCAGCACCAGTGCGGCTACTCATATCTAACTAACATTACCCTCCTCTCTAAATGAAGAATGAAAGCGATGGTCACACGAGGGCGTCGGCTATAATAAATTAATGAAGAATGAAAGCACGACGTCAAGCTCCAAGATTTTCTATTGTGCTCTTCTTCATTTTTCTGAAATCCAGAATCTTTCATCGATCATGGGCGCCGTGGGCATCCACCATTTGAACTATTGGTGCCGCACGAGGGCCCGGCTCCCAGCTGCTGGAGGTACATTTGCCTAATGAACTGCGTGACACCGTCGTCGGAGACGGCCCCCCTGGCTGGAACCCACGCGCCCAACGGCCTTGACGCACCAGAGGTGGCCAAGAGCGCCATGATGAGCAGGAGTATCACCGGCACCGCAGCAATCACTCTCGCCATCGCCATGTTTTGTTTTGTGCTAGCTGCTAATCAGTCACTAACAACAGAAGCCTCTCGATCGATCTCCTTCAGGAGAGTTCAAAGCAGTAGCTTCTTGCTTCGATCTGATCTTCTCGTAGTGATCTGTTAAACACGATGATATGAGAGTTGCATGGACCATCCAGGGGTATATATATACGGCAGGGGTCATGCGGTAAGTTTCTGGAACCTATGTTGCATGTTATTACGTGTGTCATGACGAGCAGAAATGCCCTGCGGTATATGGTTGCACCTGAGAGGATGTCGCAACAATTGGAAGGAGGAATGTTCAAAGAGCACTAACTTCACATGCATGTTGCTGTACTGCTCAGTGCTAATTGCACCCAGTTTCCGAAAGGATTAGTAATTAGCTAGCCCATGTTATTGCTGTAGTGGGCATTCACCTTTTTAAGTGGTCCGTCCTGCCTTCATGATCAAATATCTTGCAGAATGCACGTCAGGAATGTGGCGAAAAGGCATAACAAGAGTAAAAGAAGTTGCAAACCCTTCGCCCTTTCCATTTCAACAGCATATATGTATAAATGTCCATGCAGCCCGAGACCCTGCGGCCCGGCATGAAGCCCGCAAATTTCGCCCGACCTAAGCACGGCCCGGCCCGGTGGTGTGCAAGCCCGGGCTGGCACGGCCTGGTAGAGCAAGCCATGCCTGGGCCTTACCCTAGGCACAACGTGCCAGCCCGGCCCGGTACGGCCCGACCTTTAAGCTATGGCCCGGGAGTGGCCCGGCCTCCCCAGTCCCCACCTCCCGTCCGGCCCTCCCCACCTCTCAACGGCCCAGTAGCGGAGCAGCCCAATGGCTCCCCGCCTCCCTCCCTCGTATATATTCGAGCAGATGCGGCGCCCTCCCCCTCACCCTGAACCGTAATCCACTTCAGCCCCCACTCCACCCGCCGCGCCGCTCTCTTGTCTCGCCTCTTCAACTCCTCTGTTGGCGACTCGCGTTCGTCCTCCCCGACTCCAGTGATCTCGATCTGCCTGCTACCGGCGAGCCGCTCCCTTCTCCTCCTCCCTCTCTGCCTCTCCTGTCTCCCTCTCCCTCTCCCCCTTAAGATCTCGGTGATTATGTGAGTTCGTATCACTATTTGTCCCTCCTCCGCCGCTCGTCGTCCTTGCTAACCGGTGTGTCGTCTTCTCTGGGTGGCCCTCGTCTTCTCCGGCACCGGGCTCCGGTTGCGCAGGTAAAACCCTGACCCTGACCCTAACCCTAACCCTAACCCTCACCCTAACCCTCCTCGTCTTCCATTGATCTATTCCGATCTAATCTTTTCATCCTCCTTCCATCTCTTTGCGCAAGTCGGTAGCCGATACGTCATCCTCTAGCTGTGGCATAGAGCGACCAAGGTAGCCCCGCGCACCGTTGAGGAACAGTGCTGGAGAGCCGTCCGCCATGGCGGCTGCTAATGACGATATCGTATGGCCAGTCACCGGCAACGACGACTTGATCGCGGCAGGCCTGGCCCCTGAGGATGACGACGACACCAGAGAGGACGTTGTTGCGTTGTTCGGTATCGATGTCGGTAGCGGCTCTGCTGCTCCGGCTCCGATCAATCTGGACGACGATGGTGGAGAAGGGGCGACGGCGACTGGGAACCCACTGGGCTCCAACTCCAACAGCTCTACTCCATCTGTTGCTGGTAACTCTAATGTTGGTAAGCGTAAATCACCTGTGTGGGCTGATTTTGATGAGATATATGAGACTGTGAATGGTAGAAAGATTTGCACTTAAGTTACATGTAAAATGTGTAAGCAACCCTTGTCTGCTAGATCTAATGTTGGCACTAGCCACTTGAAGAGGCACCAGGAATCTTGTATGCAGAAAACTGATCAACGTGCTAGGGTTCAGTCTAGGCTTGCTTACAATCCTGAAGGTTCTGTGCATAACTGGGACTATAAACCTGATGTTGCTATATCTGAGTTGTGTCGCTTGATTGCTAGGCTTGATCTGCCGTTAGGTATTGGTGAGACAGAGGCCTGGGAAGAGTACATTGTTCGTGCTCATAACCCTAGGTTTGTTAAGATATCTAGACAGACCACCACTAGAGATCTTAACAAGTTATTTACTGAACATCGTAATATTTTTAAGAACTCTGTGTTGTCTGCTGCTTCCTCTGTTGCTCTGACATGAGACATTTGGTCTAGTAATGCTAAGGAGGACTACATTAGTGTTGTGGCTCATTATGTGAGTGCTGATTGGGATTTACAGAAAAAGGTAATTGGTCTTCAGTTGATTGAGGTGAAACATACTGATGAAAATATTGCTGAAAGAGTTGCTTGTGTGGTTCAGGGGTTTGGTTTGATTGACAAGGTTTTTTCTGTAACCCTAGCCATACAAGTAAGAAAAAACAGGCATGGGGAAGAATTTTTGGAGGCTCTGGATTATCTGGTGTTGTTGGTCCTTCCCCTGCCTCTGCCCCACTCCATCTCTATCTACTTCTGTTGCTGCTTGTGAGCTCTCAGCTTATCTAGACAGTGACAATGTCACTGCATATGAGGATGACTATGATTTACTTCTCTGGTGGCGTGACCACAAACTAACATTTCCAGTACTTTCTATAATGACTAGAGATATTGTGTGTGTTCCTGTTTCACTGTCTCTTCAGAATCATGTTTCAGCTTGACAGGAAGGATAATTGAAGAGTGGCGATGACTTGTTGCCTGAACTGTAAAGATGCTGGCTTGCATAAAGGATTGGGAGTTTGAAGAAAAAAGGTTGCAGCATGTTGTTGACAACCAAGGGTTGGAAGACGCCTTCAAGAATCTCTATCTCGATGGCTGCTTTTGCTTGCACATCTGGGCCTGGCACATCTACATCTGTGGCTTCTGCTGGTACTTAGTGTCTGTGTCATCTGTGGCTTCTGCTGGTACAGACTGTGAGACTTGAGAGTTGTGAGAGTCTGAGACTTGAGAGTGATCTATTATCTGTATCTGTATCTGAGATCTTTGAACAATGGTTTAAGACTTGATTAAGAGTTGTGCTGCACTCTTTTTTTCTTTCTAGGGTTTCTCATAAGGGTGAGTTTTACCTAAAAAGGTTTTTAATGAGCCAACATTGAACAAACAGCTCATTTATCGTAATTGTCTTGTCTTCTTTGGTGCTTTTGGTTAGAAGTTATAACTTAGAATCTATGATAAGTTTGAAATGTTATATTTGTTATTGTCAATGAGTTTGGCTAATGGCTTATGAATGAGTGTGAATGAATCTATGTAACTGTGAAAATTGAGAAGAGTGTGATGGGAGCAACATTTTGAGGTGCGTTAAGGTCACCGTAATATGGGCTGGAACGGCACGGTGATTTAGCCGTGCTTAGCGGGCCGGCACGGCATGAATTTTGGCCCGTAGTGTCGTGTTTGGGCCAAAGGCTAGGCACGAGGCCCGTGGATGCACGGCACGGGAGGCACAGCTTAGTGCTGCGTTGGACAACTATACATATACGGGCGTAGTGCTGCGTTCCAAACTTACGCAATGCCGGCAATGGGGTAGGATGATGTCAGCACCCAGGTGGAGGACGAAGTTGACAAACATTATTAGTGGGTGGCCTACGTCCTACTCGAAGCCGCTGGCCCAGCTCGCGTGTCTTTGGGCCGGAGTGGATTGGAGCCCAGTAAAGCTGTCGATGTGCTACTGGTGTCACGGAGTCGTCTAGCTAAGTATTACTGTTCCCACTCAAAAAAAACTAAGTATTACTGTTTCCTCAAAAAAAGCTAAGTATTACTGTATTAGTAGTAGCAAGAAGGGAGAGGGGAACAACTATAAGGTGAGCTCCGTAAAACTTCTGTTATAATCTGTCCTCTGGAGTTCATCCGATCTATCCCCTGTTCTTCTGCTTGTTCTTCCATCCATACTGCTTACATCTAGTATGTGATTAAGTGTTCTGGCGTAGTGCCGTCACTCCCCCAGAGTTTAATTTGGGCGTTGGGTGAGGCGAGACACGTTGCTTGAGGAGCCGTGTACGTGTTTGTTTAATAGACTCCTTCCTCCCTTTCTCCTGATGTTCTTGTATTTCTTGGCTCTTGCTAGTGTGATCCGCATGGGAGATTCTTAATCCATTCGTTTCTTGAATTGAATATTCTCCTATGCGTGCCTAATTAACAAGAAAGACGGATGGTAAATATATAGTTTCTAGTTCTACCATGGTATACCGACCCAAAACGGTAATCATGCATGGTGAGCGATCTAAGTATTTTCGCTTTCATTTCCGTTTCATCAGTAGTTATTTTAGTTTTCATTTCGAACGTAAACCTGTAAAATCTCAAAATAGTTCCCAACAATAAGAAATTACAATTACCCGGCCATATTGTCACATGGGCTTGGACGCTCGTGAGCCAGCTCAACCTGTCAAGTAGACAAGCTAACAAAATCTACAGTCGGTCGTCTTGACTGATCAAAGAATACTATATGTAACAAGAGTCAACCTAGCTAAAAAGTTGTGTTGCACGAATGCTACTACTTAGAGCACGAGAAAAGTCCTTAGCATTGCTGTCCCCTTCACAAGTGAATGTTCGTTTATATATGGAAATGCCACTGCACACACGTTACATATGAATATATACACAAACGGAATATAATGAAATAAGAGAAATAAAGGTACAAATTAAAAGGGGTTTACAAAACCTGGCTATGGCTTCATGAAAGAATTACCATCCGTACGTACATGTATATAGGTATATAAGAAAATTTAACTAAAAGGTGTATAATCTGATATAATATGGACACGTACGTGACGCAACTGCATATGCTGTTTAGTGTTTACTCTAGCTAGCCTGATGACGGTGTTGGGCATCCACCGTTGGAGCTGTTGGTCTGACAGGACGGCGCCGCTCCCAGCTGCTGCAAATAAAGCCGCCTGAGAAGCTGCAGGATTTGCTTGCCGGAGACGGCGGCGGCATCTCCCGCTCCCATGCCGGCGGCGTCGGCGGCCGTCGCCAGCGGCCGCGCGGAGCAGGACGTGGACACTAAGGCCATGACGA